TATCAGAACAAACTGGAAGAGTTTCGCTTTTGGACTTGGATACAGGGATACTGAAGTTAACTCTTTGCTGCACAGTTCCATGAAGGAGCCAAGACTCACACAATGGATTTAAGCTAGTGTTTCCTAACTATTGGTCCTCTAAAGCAAAGTTTCTCAACCTGGGGAGGGTCGTGAGGGGGTCACCAAACACCATCAGAAAACATATGATGGTCTTAGGAACCCCTTTGGCAGAGAAGGCTGAAGATCTCTTTGCCTGTCCTTCTCCTCCTTGTTGGAAACAGACAGCAAATCCTTCCACCAAAAGTCCTCTTCCACTGTGATTGGCTGGCCTCTTAGCTAAGGGGAGGGTTGTTTCTGAGACTCGAAGCAAGGGGGGAGAGCAGGTGTGCTTGGCGCATGGCAACGAGCACATGTGCAGGCGAGGGAGAGCGTGTGAGGTTGGAGCGAGTCTCTTCAAGGCATGGAGGTTCTGTGTGGGAAGTTTGGCCAAAGTCTATCATTGGTACGGTTCAGAATGCTCTTTGATTGTAGGTGAACTATAAATCCCAGCAACTACAACTCCCCAATGTCAAGGTCTATTTTCCCCAAACTCCACCAGTGTTCACATATGGGCATATTGAGTATTTGTGCCAAGTTTGGTCCAGATCCATCATTGTTTGAGGCCACAGTGCTCTCTGGATGTAGTCCTTGTGTCAGCAGGACTGATGACCGACAGGTCATAGGTTTCGAATCTGGGGAGAGCGCAGATGAGCTCCCTCTGTCAGCTCCGACTCCCCATGCAGGGACATGAGAGAAGCCTCCCACAAGGATGGTAAAACATCAAAACATCTGGGCACTCCCTGGGCAACGTCCTTGCAGACGGCCAATTCTCTCACACCAGAAGCGACTTGCAGTTTCTCAAGTCACTCCTGACACGAAAATAAAAATAAATAAATCTTTCCAGACTCTAGACTGCCCTTTTTCTTGCCAAAAATGAGGAACCCTTCATCTTCTCTTTAAAACCATTTTTTTTCTCTCAAAATTGGAAGTTGTGGGGTTTTTCTTTCTCCAGCACTCAAGGTCAATACCCACCAAACCCTTTCAGTATTTTCCGTTGGTCGTGGGAATTCTGTGTCCCAAGTTTGGTTCAATTCTATCGTTGGTGGAGTTCAGAATGCTCTTTGATTGTAGGTGAACTATAAATCCCAGATAACTACAACTCCCAAATGACAAGGCTATTTTCCCCAAACTCCACCAGTGTTCACATTGGGCATATTGAGTATTTGTGCCGTGGTCCATATCCATCATTGTTTGAGTTCACAGTGCTTTCTGGATGTGGTGAACTACAACTCCCAAACTCAAGGTCAATGCCCACCAAACCACTTCCAGTATTTTCTGTTGGTCATGGGAGTTCTGTGTGCCAAGTTTGGTTCAATTCCATCATTGGTGGAGTTCAGAATGCTCTTTGATTGTAGTGAACTATAAATCCCAGCTACTATAACTCCCAATTGACAAAATCAATCCCCCACCGTAACCCCACCAGTATTCAAATTTGGGTATTTGTGCCAAATTTGGTCCAGTGAATGAAAATACATCCTGCTTATGAGATATTTACATTACGATTCATAACAGTAGCACAATAACATTTATGAAGTAGCAACAAAAATATTTTTATGGTTGGAGGTCACCACAACATGAGGAACTCTATTAAGGTGTCATGCATTAGGAAGGTTGAGAACCACTGCTCTGAAATGAACACTACAGCCCCTGATTTTCATTGAGTCTCCCATCCAAGTACTAACCAGGGCAACAGAGTTTATCTTCAAAATCAGTTGGGATCTTGGGCCTTTACGTTACATGGACTTGATATCGCTTAAAAAGTGAAATAGACACAGATATGCATATAGCTAAAAGCATGCAGAAAAACTCTGGCAAACTTTAATTAATATAAGGTATTAAAAACATTAAAATATTCCCATTAAATAGAACAGGAGACAAATAATATATTGCACACTATTAAGATTCCTTTCCATAAATCTATTGGACTCTCTCTCTCTCTCCACGATCTGGCATAAATTCTATGCAACCTGAATTCTGCACATGAAGCATTTCCTACCATAGCAGGAATGGGCCAAAGTGGCCCTCCAGGTGTTTTGGACTTCAACTCCCACAATTCCTAACAGCCTCAGGTGCCTTCCTTTTCACCCTCAGTTGCTTAAGCGGCTGAGGGGTAAAGGAAAGGGCTGAGGCTGTTAGGAATTGTGGGAGTTGAAGTCCAAAACACCTGGAGGGCCAAAGTTGGCCCATGCCTGTACTGTAGAGATGCTCATGAGACGAACCTGGAGGGGCAAAGTTGGCCCATGCTCATGAGGTAAAGCAGTTGATCAGTTGATGACATGAAGGTTGCCCCATGTTATGGGCACCTCCATCAAGCAAGAATACAAATCAAGGTGAATAGTTTATTGGGCAACTTTACTCAGACACAGTTGGATTGCAACACCTATCAGGTTTGGCCAGCACAGCCAATTGAGGAGAATAATGGGAGCTGTAATCTGATAATATCTGAAACAGATTCATTGTCATAAAGGATGTTTTATCCACAAATGTGGCATCTTAGTCTCTAGAGATACTTTTATACTACCGTCCCATACTTATGTCTGGTGAAAACCTTTACCTTTACCTATGCTATCCAAAGCTTGTGCAGATAGACAGACAGATAGGAGTTCCTGGTGGCACAGCAGGTTAAACCTCGGAACTGCTGAACTTGTCAACCAAAAGGTTGGCGGTTCAAATCCAGGGAGCGGGGTGAGCTCCTGCTGTGAGGCCCAGCTTCTGCTAATCTAGCACTTTGAAAACATGCAAGTGTGAGTAGATCAATACGTACCTCTCTGGCAGGAAGGTAATGGTGCTCCATGCAGCCATGCTAGCCACATGACCTTGGAGGTGTCTACGGACAACGCCGGCTCTTTGGCTTAGAAATGAGCACCACCCCCTAGAGTTGGACATGAGTAGACTTAATGTCAGGGGAAAACTTTCCCAATGGTGCAGCAGGTTAAACCTCTGAGCTGCTGAACTTGCCAATCAAAAGGTTGGCTGTTCAAATCCAGGGCGCGGGGTGAGCTCCCACTGTGAGACCCAGCTTCTGCCAACCTAGCAGTTTGAAAACATGCAAGTGAGTAGATCAATACGTACCTTTCTGGCAGGAAGGTAACGGTGCTCCATGCAGCCATGCTGGCCACATGACCTTGGAGGTGTCTACGGACATCGCCGGTTCTTCAGCTTAGAAATGAGCACCATCCCTAGAGTCGGACACAACTAGACTTAATGTCAGGAGAAACCTTTACCTATTCACAAATGTTTTACATTTGTGCCATCTTGAAGACAACTGGCCTCTTCTCAGAGTCAATGAAGTCAAAAGGAAGACCAGGTCCATTTTCAACACTGGCTTGGCTGTTAGAGAGTTAATGCATGTGTTAACTTTATGATGGACTCAATCACTGTTAATCTTTTACCACCTTAGGAGGAAGCAAGGAGCAACCTGTTGCAGAGCAAATATACTTAGGGCTGCCAGCTGCCTCTCCATTTGATATTGTGTTGAATTAATTAGATATTTTGAATTAAACAGCATGAATCGGGTGTGGGAACAGTTTATGCATCCCGACCTGTCAAGCCTCAGCCCCTGGGCTAAGTCAGTCTTCACAAGAGATTTTACTGTCTGAGGTGAAGAACAAAATGCCCATCCCAATCCATAAACAAAACACTAGACTGTTAACTAGACTGGTATTTGAATAGTCAGCAAAGGGAATTGCTTTGCTATGCCTAACTGTGCTTATAATATACTTAATGCACCTGTATCTGCTTTAGTTTCAATGAAAGAGACCAACTCACATTATCAGTGGTTCTTGGAACCAGCTGTTCCAAGTTTAAAGTTTGAAGAAACATAAGAGCTCAGAAGACTCATAAGTTTGCCATTTCCCAGTTCATGAGTGGTCAAAATATTTATAATAATAATAATAATAATAATAATAATAATAATACATAGTAGGTGGGGCAAAGTACTTCGATACACCTGCTGCCATCAAATATGCCTTGCCACACCTTTAGTTTTGGTGTATTGAACATTGACCTTCAGTTGTCTCTATCAGATATTAATTATCAAGGCATCTTAAAGATCAAATAATGCAAACTGCAATAAGATCAACAATATCACGTGTCAATTAAAAGATTGATTAGTATCACATTTATTAACCAGCAGGAGCCTGGCAAATCCAAAAAGAAGTATTGACACTTAATTACAGTTAACTAGATTTACTCAGTCATAGTTGTTCTGTATTTGCAACCACTACTTAGTCATTAGGCTTGTGCAATCCGGGTAAACTTGACCTGTTTCGTTAAATGCTAATCAATGTTATTTTTGATGTGTTGTTGGGCTTGGCCTCATGTAAGCTGCTCCGAGTCCCTTGGGGAGATGGTGGCGGTGTATAAATAAAGTTTTGTTGTTGTTGTTGTTGTTGTTGTTGTTGTTGTTATCATCAAGGTGGCCAATTGTAACATTAATACCTACCTCAAACAGACAAGGTTTCTTTCTCCTGCCCTAGGCATTGCACAGATATGTAAACTCAATTTTCCTAGTCTCCAACAGACCTCACAACCTTTGAGGATGCCTGCCATAGATGCAGGCGAAACGTCAGGAGAGAATGCTTCTGGAACATGGCCATACAGCCCAGAAAACTCACAACAATCCCAACTCATTTTCCCGGTTCCATAAGAAAACCTATGAAGTCTATAAGGTGGCTTTGAAGGCACGCAACATAAAGGAGTGCTAGCTGTAAGAAAAATACCAAATGTTCCTGTTTGTTATGGCAACGGAAGATCACAAAACAGCATGCCACCCCGAGGCTTATTCTTCCTCTTTGAACCACATGGTGGCATCAAAGGCCATTCTTTCCCAGCGCCACATTCTTGCAACTTTGGAGAGAGGCGAAAAAATGCCCATCATTTTTTGGCACAATAGTTGCTCTCAAGTTGCTGACTACCCCAACCCTCCCCGTCCCTTCCCAAATAATTTATGTTAATGTATTCTGCTCCCTGCCTCTTGGCAGCCACTCATCCTGACAGCCAAGGTCTCTCCCTGGGAGGAATCCTCTTCAGATGCTCTTTGGGATCCCAGAAGCAGGGAGGGGGTGGAAATTAACAATTTCCACAAACCAACAAGAGGGATTTTCCATCTGAAACTGGCATCTCTGTGAGTGTGTCTTTGTGTCTTTCCCCCTACGCTGTCTTGGCCAGGACTGCACTGTGCAGTGCTGGTTTTCTGCCTCTTCTCATAGCCTTTGGAAGAAGATAGTGACGTCTTTTATTCAAGGACAGAAGAAACTCAGTGATTCCCAACCTACTTTCTTGGAAACCCACTGGATAAAGTTAATTCTCTGCTTCCAAGACCAGGATTTTGGCAAATAAGCACATTCTGAGACTATCACCAGAAGATCCTGCGCTTTCTGTTGAAAGGAATCTCTCTGCTAAGCTCTTGACTTCTTTAAGTGTGTGGACCAACCCACCCAAGGCAAGCCTCTTTGACATAGAAGATCTGCAAAGGCACCACCCAAAGGATCTGCTGTCTAAGTTTATTTTGGGTCCTGAACGGGTTGGAGAGACCCACAAACTCTTTGGATATTCTTTCAACACTCCAATTTGGGTCACTTTTTTGGACCCTATCAAGGTTTTTAGTTTTGGTCTTTCCAGATCTTCTTCTTGGTCAACTTGTCATCCAAACTTTAAGTCCAGGCACATTTCAACTCCTTCTGTTCCTCTCTCGTTTTGTTTTCACCACTTGATTTGAATCTTCATTCCCAGGGAGTTGTCATTGTGTCGTTTTCTCAGCACAGCCAAGATGTTCAGCTGGATGAAGAAGAACGAGAAGAAGACGCCCGAGGTGATCCGCACGGTCACCGAGGGCCTCAAAGACCTCTACAAGAGGAAGCTGCTCCCGGTGGAGGAATTCTACCGCTTCCATGATTTCCATTCACCAGCCCTGGAAGATGCCGACTTTGACAACAAACCCATGGTGCTGGTGGTGGGCCAGTACTCCACCGGGAAGACCACCTTCATCAAATACCTGCTGGAGCAGGACATCCCTGGGAGTCGCATTGGGCCCGAACCCACCACGGACTCTTTCATCGCTGTGATGCACGGGGAAACGGAGGGGATCATACCAGGCAATGCCCTCATTGTCGACCCCAAGAAGCCTTTCAGAAAACTCAACCCCTTTGGAAACACCTTTCTTAACAGGTAAGCACCCACATTCGGGATATTATTTATTTATTTTCTTCCTTACTTAATGTATTTATAATTCCTGTCCTTCTCACCTTGCATGGAACTCAGGGTGACTTACAAAAAAGGCACAATTTAATACCACTTTTACATACTTAAGATAGAATCATGAGATCTTGTGGGTCATCCAGTCCTACCCCAGTCTGCCAAGAAGCAGGAAAATCTCATTCAAAGCACCCCTGACAGATGGACATCCAGCCTGTGTTTAAAAGCTTCCAAAGAAGGAGCCTTCACCATACTCCAGGGCAGAGAGTTCCACTGCTGAACAGCTCTCACAGTCAGGAAGTTCTTCCTAATGTTCAGGTGGAATCTCCTTTCCTGTAGTTTGAGGACACTGTTCCATGTCCTCAGGCCTGTAGTGAGGGGGGGGGGGGGAGGGATTCAACCCTCTGCCGAAATGTTTCAGATTTTTTTAAAAAACCTGGTTTACTTATGAATTTTAACTGGTTAACCCAATCCCCATGCTAAGTCTATGAGATGCAAAAATTAAGAGTCCCTCCAGAACTGCAAGGACTATCTCAAGCAAATATTGACAATTTATTCACACTGTCATTACTTGCAGCAATAGCCGATGTAGTGAAGCAACCAAGTTGGGGGGGGTGTTGAATGCTCTCATTAAGGAGGCCAGACTTGGTGGAGGTGGTTGACAGGGGTGGAGCTGCAGGCTATTGAAGGCTGCTCTGCCCCCTGCTGTGCTCTTTGCTTCAGTGTGAGCTAGGAGGCAGATTTCAACCCTCCCCTCCCATGAAATTTTCAACCCTCCCTCCCAAATTTCAACCACTCCCGAATTTTTTTTCTGGCTACGGCCCTGCATGTCCTAGACTCCAGGGCAGCAGAAAACAAGCCTGCTCCCTCCTCCCTGTGACTTCCCCCCACATCTTGATCCATGGCCCTCATTATATCTCCTCTCAGCCTTCTCTTCTGCAGGCTAAACATGCCCAGCTCTTTGAGCCGCTCCTCATAGGGCTTGTTCTCCAGAATCTTGATCATTTTAGTTTCCCTCCTCTGTACACATTCCAGCTTGTCAACATCTCTTTTCAATTGTGGTGCCCAGAATTGGACACAGTGTGATTCCAGATGTGGTCTAACCAAGGCAGAATAGAGGGGGAGAATGACTTCCCTGGATCTAGACACTAGACTCCTATTGAGACAGGCCAAAATCCTATTGGCTTTTTTAGCTGACATTGTTGGCTCATGTTCACCTTCCTCCCCATGAGGACTCCAAGATCTTTTCCACACATCCTGCTCTCGAGCCAGGCATCGTCCCCCATTCTGTATCTTTGCATTTCATTTTTTTCTGCCTAAGTGGAGTATCTTACATTTGTCCCTGTTGAACTTCATTTTGTTAGTTTTGGCCCATCTCTCTAATCTGTTAGAGATTAACATCAATAATTAAAATACATAATCTTAAAAACCAACTACATTAAAAACCACGTAGTCCAAAGGCATATTCCAGGAGCCATTCCATAAATTGCACTATCCCATAGCCACTTATTGTATTGCAGATCACTTATTTCATTGCAGATCACTGTCCAAAGGCTTGGTCCCACAACCATGTCTTCACTTTCTTTCTGAAGGACAGGAGGGAGGGAACTGGTTTAATTTCACCGGTGAGGGAGTTCCATAGCTGAGGGGCCACCACTGAGGAGGTCCTGTCTCTCATCCCCACCAACTACATTTGCAAAGGAAGTGGGACCAAGAGCAGGGCCTCCCCTGACAATCTTAATCTCCGAGGTGGATCATAGAAGGAGATGTGTTCGGACAGGTATGCTGGGCGGGACCGTTTAGGGCAGTGTTTCTCAACTTTCCTAATGCCGTGACCCCTTAATACAATTCCTCCTGTTGTGGTGACCCTCAACCATAAAAGTATTTTCGTTGCTACTTCAGAACTTTTGCTACTGCTATTGAATCATAATGTAAGTATCTGATATGAAGGATTTATTTTCATTCACTGGACCGTCCTCGTCTCCAGGGCAGCAGAAAACAAGCTTTCTCCCTCCTCCCTACAACTTCCCCTCACGTATTTATACATGGCCTTCATCACATCTCCTCTCAGCCTTCTCCCCTGCAGGCTAAACATGCCCAGCTCCTCAAGCCGCTCCTCATAGGGTTTGTTCTCCAGACCTTTGATCCTTTGAGTCACCCTCTTCTGGGCGCATTCCAGCTTAAAATCAACATCTCCCTTCAATTGTGGTGCCCAGAATTGAACACAATATTCCAGGTGTGGTCAAATAGGGAGGCAGCATGCCTTCCCTGGATCTAGGCACTAGACTCCTATTGATGCAGGCCAACATCCCATTGGCTTTTTAAGCTGCTGCATGACATTGCTGGCTTATGTTCACCTTCCTGTCCACAAAGACTCCAAGATCTTTTTCACGTGTACTGCTATCGAGCCAGGCATTGTCCCCCATTCTGTCTCTTTGTATTTCATTTTTCTGCCTAAGTGGGGTATCTTGAATTTGTCCCTGTTGAACTTCATGTCTGGATAGGGATTTCAAGCCTGTGTCTTTTCAGTGTTGATCCAGTGCTGACACCAAATTGGTGTCGAGAGCAGTACGTGTGAAAAAGATCTTGAGTCCTCTCTGCACTTGCATAGCTCAAGCCTGAACAAAAATGTAACCGTATCCAAAAGCCCCAGGCTTGACTATCTCCCTGAGCAATGCCCGACTAATCAGCTTTATGCATCATATTTTACAGTTGACACAGACACATTAACTGATTCCTTGCATGCTCCAACAGTGACCACATGCTTGTGGATCTTAATGGCTTCTCCATGAAGTCTGACATGGTGGTTGTTAGAAATTGTGGGAATTGAAGTCCAAAACAGCAGGTTGGCTCAAGGTGGCCCATGGCAACATTCACACTTGCTTGAAGTGGACAAGAGTTCTTTCTCCCATCCTGGACATTGTTCCACAGATACATGAGCCTCACTTGCCTGGTTTCCAACAGACTTCACAACCTCTGAGGGTGCGTGAAACATCAGGAGAGAATAGTTCTGGAACATGGCCATACAGCCCAGAAAACTCACAACAACACAGTGATTCCGGCCATGAAAACCTTCAACAATACTTTGAAAGGAATGTATATAGCAGAGAAGCTATTCATGAGCATGGTTGTGACACCAAGTGTACTTTTTCCTTATGCACACTGTCCAACTGTCTTGATTTGGTAGTGACAATCCCGGTTGGTCTTGGCCCTCCTTCTTTTTGAGTTGCTTTGGAAAAGTTCTGGGGGACACCTGGCTCGAGAGCAGTACATGTGAAAAAGATATTGGAGCCCTCATGGACAGCAATGTGATGTGGTGGCAACAAAAGCCAATGGGATTTTGACCTGCATCAATAGGAGCATAGTGTCTAGATTTAGGAAAGTCATGCTCCCCATGCTCTATTCCGCCTTGGTTAGACCACACATGGAATATTGTGTCCAATTCTGGGCACCACAATTGAAGAGAGATATTGACAAGCTGGAATGTGTCCAGAGGAGGGCGACTCAAATGATCAAGGGTCTGGAGAACAAGCCCTATGAGGAGCGGCTTAAAGAGCTGGGCATGTTTAGCCTGAAGAAGAGAAGGCTGAGAGGAGGCATGATAGCCATGTATAAATATGTGAGAGGAAGCCACAGGGAGGAGGGAGCAAGCTTGTTTTCTGCTTCCCTGGAGACTAGGACGTGGAACAATGGCTTCAAAATTCAAGAAAGGAGATTCCATCTGAACATTAGAAAGAACTTTCTGACTGTGAGAGCCGTTCAGCAGTGGAACTCTCTGCCCCGGAGTGTGGTGGAAGCTCTGTCTTTGGAAGCTTTTAAACAGAGGCTGGATGGCCATCTGTCAGGGGTGCTTTGAATGCAATATTCCTGCTTCTTGGCAGGGGGTGGACAGGATGGCCCATGAAGTCTCCTCTAACTCTATGATTCTATGAAATGGAGTATCTTGCATTCGTCCCTGTTGAACTTCACGGCTGGATAGGGATTTCAAGCCTGTGTCTTTCCAGTGTTGATCTGACACTCAAGCCACACTTTTTCTGGTGTCTTTGACAGCTCATCTGAAAGTATTTTAGCCAGAAGCACAAGACACCAACTGCCTCGATCTGTAGCAAACTGAGCTTATCTTGCAAGTTGGAGAAAAGCTGCACCAGCTAAAAATTCCCCTGAGTCCCATTTCAATGCACCATAAATGGAATGGGAAGCCTTGGCTTCATTTCCATCTGGCATTTTCTCCTTGTGTCTGTCTTTCTCCATCTCTTAAAACAACCACCATGAATAGATCCAGAAGAAAATGGTGGCTGTTCTAAGAATCATGCATGCCACCATTTCAAGGCCAATCGAACATAGTCGAACTACCAAGAACTTAATGCCAACAGAGATTTGACCCCTGAGGATGTAGACTGAAATTGCATTTTGTCTTTGCTTTGGAGCCTCAAGTGCACAGTGGGTTAAAGCGCTGAGCTGCTGAACTTGCTGACTGAAAGGTTGGTGGCTCGAATCCGGGAAGTGGAGTGAGCTCCCGCTGTTAGCCCCAGCTTCTGCCAACATAGCAGTTTGAAAACATGCAAATGTGAGTAGATCAATAGGTACCGCTCTGGCAGGAAGGTAACGGCGTTCCATGCTGTCATGCCGGCCACATGACCTTGGAGGTGTCTATAGACAATGCTGGCTCTTCGGCTTAGAAATGAAAATGAGCACCGCACCCCAGAGTCGGACACGACTGGACTTAATGTCAGGGGGAAACCTTTACCTTTTTACTTTTACCCTAAAATCGGGACAGTAAATAAAGACGAGCACTCAGAAAAGTAGGGGAATTCCAGACAAGAAACAAGCAGGGCCAGCTTACACCTCCCAACAAAGGATTCCCCCAGACAGGAAGCAGCCAGGCTTTGAAACTACAAGGCCATTCAATGCTAAACAAGATGGCCAATTGTAATATTCACACTTGCCTCCAACAGGCAAGAGTTCTTTCTCCC